AACTACAATGGTAACAGTACTTACTGGAGTAGAAAGTGTATCAGAAAATATGGGACAACTACAATGGTAACAGTACTTACTAGAGTAAAAAGTGTATCAGAAAATATGGGACAACTACAATGGTAACAGTACTTACTGGAGTAGAAAGTGTATCAGAAAATATGGGACAACTACAATGGTAACAGTACTTACTGGAGTAAAAATGTATCAGAAAATATGGGACAACTACAATGGTAACAGTACTTACTGGAGTAAAAAGTGTGTATCAGAAAATATGGGACAACTACAATGGTAACAGTACTTACTAGAGTAAAAAGTGTGTATCAGAAAATATGGGACAACTACAATGGTAACAGTACTTACTGGAGTAGAAAGTGTATCAGAAAATATTGGACAACTTCAATGGTAACAGTACTTACTAGAGTAAAAAGTGTGTATCGGAAAAGTGCTTACACTCTCAAAATGTTTTATAATGTTCTGAACTGAATGATATGTAGTTGAAACCTTAAAATGTATATTCACACAAAACCATCACACCAGTTAACTACATCATGGTTTCTAATAGGGCTTTAAAAATGTCAGAAAACCAAATTATTTTAATCAAACAAATCTAGAGTTTATTATAAACTGTTGTTACTTCATGTCATCTACCTGAGATGATGTAGACAACAACTTCTGCAATCCATTCTCCAAACGTTGGATTTTTGATTGAAGTTCCTGATTCTTATTCCTCAGTAGATTGCCGTACAGCTTGATCTGCTCCAGAAAGCTCTTAGGAGTGGTATAATTATAGCGTCTTTCATTGGTTAGATATAAAGCACTGATATCATTCACTGACGTGTGAACAAAGGCCATAAACTTAGCTATTGGCTCTCTCAGTTCTTCCTTTGGGAAAAAGAAATAACTATTTAAAGGAAATACATCCTGAACATTTTCAATATATCTTAACAATTCTAATACTGAGGTTTGTAACAGCATAGAGGTATGAATGTTGTATCATCAGGTTCACTGATCTCCCTATAAAATGTGAGTTCTTATAACAAATAAAGAGACTGTGTACAACATATAGCCCAGTGAAACAAACTTTATTCAAACACATACACAATCAAAGTTAAAGGTAAGTGTATTTTATGTGAACCAAACTTTACTCACACACATACACAATCAAAGTTAAAGGTAAGTGTATTTTGTGTGAACCAAACTTTACTCACACACATACACAATCAAAGTTAAAGGTAAGTGTATTTTCTGTGAACCAAACTTTACTCACACACATACACAATCAAAGTTAAAGGTAAGTGTATTTTCTGTGAACCAAACTTTACTCACACACATACACAATCAAAGTTAAAGGTAAGTGTATTTTCTGTGAAACAAACTTTACTCACACACATACGCAATCAAAGTTAAAAGTAAGTATATTATTTGGCACCTTGCTGAAAATTTCTCAGTATGTTGAAAGCAAATCAATATCTGCAATCATATTAAATCAATGTGTTCCACACTTAGGAAACATAACATTATATACTAAAAAGAATGTGATTCTTCTTTTCAGGTCACAGTTACTACCTATGTGACCGATGGTCACTCTCACTCAGAACAAGGCATGTTATATCCCTGGGGCATCACCTGATTTACTGGTAGAAATGATCACTGCCTCTTTCCATACAGTATGTTCTAAATCAAAGAAATGATTCCCACAAAAATGGCCTAGTTCTATAAGGGTGAGAGACTCTTAGTGGCTCTCTGGTTGATATACTTAATATATCAACTTTTAATTATTAGTTTTTATTATTTATATTTTATATTTTTATTGTTTTACTATAATGGTTGTGCTACAGAGTATTAATTTTATCTTATTTTTGTTATTATAAAGATTATTTCACTTTGTTAAATTATTTTATGGATTTAGGACAACATTCACATCACATTTAATATGCTATGGTCATTACTAGGTATATATATCTTTAGTTTTGATCTATGTAGGTAGCTTGCTCTGATCAGAAGTTAATATTAAATATTAATTCCACATTACAGCTACACACAATACGTAAAACAATCTTGAAAACTTTATATATTAACTGAGAGGGTAGGAAATATACGGTATGCCTACATATCACAAGGGTATCTAACAGTCAATATCAAAATGTTTACAAAGATGGTGTGATAATCTCAAGGATAAAGTTAGCACATACCACAAGGGTATTTAACAGTCAATAACAAAATGTTCACAAAGATGGTGTGGTAATCTCAAGGATAAAGCTAGCACAAACCACAAGGGTAATCAACAGTCATTATCTAAATGTTTACAAAGATGGTGTGGTAATCTCAAGGATAAAGCTAGCACATACCACAAGGGTATTTAACAGTCAATATCAAAATGTTCACAAAGATGGTGTGGTAATCTCAAGGATAAAGCTAGCACATACCACAAGGGTATTTAACAGTCAATATCAAAATGTTCACAAAGATGGTGTGATAATCTCAAGGATAAAGTTAGCACATACCACAAGGGTATTTAACAGTCAATATCAAAATGTTCACAAAGATGGTGTGGTAATCTCAAGGATAAAGCTAGCACAAACCACAAGGGTATTTAACAGTCAATAACAAAATGTTCACAAAGATGGTGTGGTAATCTCAAGGATAAAGCTAGCACAAACCACAAGGGTAATCAACAGTCATTATCTAAATGTTTACAAAGATGGTGTGGTAATCTCAAGGATAAAACTAGCACATACCACAAGGGTACTTAACGATCAATATCAAGATGTTTACAAAGATGGTGAGGTAATCTCAAGGATAACTCAAGGATAACATACCACAAAGGTATTTAACAGTCAATATCAAAATGTTCACAAAGATAGTGTGGTAATCTCAAGGATAAAGCTAGCACATACCACAAGGGTACTTAACAGTCATTATCTAAATATTTACAAAGATGGTGTGATAATCTCAAGGATAAAGCTAGCACATACCACAAGGGTACTTAACAGTCATTATCTAAATGTTTACAAAGATGGTGTGATAATCTCAAGGATAAAGCTAGCACATACCACAAGGGTAATCAACAGTCATTATCTAGATGTTTACAAAGATGGTGTTGTAATCTCAAGGATAAAACTAGCACATACCACAAGGGTAATCAACAGTCATTATCTAAATGTTTACAAAGATGGTGTGGTAATCTCAAGGATAAAGCTAGCACATACCACAAGGTACTTAACAATCAATATCAAGATGTTTACAAAGATGGTGTGGTAATCTCAAGGATAAAGCTAGCACATACCACAAGGGTACTTAACAGTCATTATCTAAATATTTACAAAGATGGTGAGGTAATCTCAAGGATAAAGTTAGCACATACCACAAGGGTAATTAACAATCATTATCTAGATGTTTACAAAGATGGTGTGGTAATCTCAAGGATAAAGCTAGCACATACCACAAGGGTAATTAACAGTCATTATCTAAATGTTTATAAAGATGGTGTGGTAATCTCAAGGATAAAGCTAGCACATACCACAAGGGTAATTAACAGTCATTATCTAAATGTTTATAAAGATGGTGTGGTAATCTCAAGGATAAAG